AAAAATGTCTAAATTCATATTTTAATAATATGAAACTAAAATTTTAAACGAGAAAAATTGGAACAGAAAAGCTGTTAGTTGACATCATTAGAATGACCTTTAAAAAGAGTGACATTATCCACACTTTTACCGTTGAATTGATTGAATTTAATTGACAAAAATTTTGACGTGTCTGATTAAAATTTAACAAGTTTTTTCCTCGAAAATAAAAAAAAAGGAAGAGAAAAGGCTCGGTTTAAAAGGGGAATGCTTCCTTCATTCAACTCGTTGCACTTCCCCACTTTCGAACCCACCCAAATCCGCCACACCTCTGACCTCCATTTTCACCGTTATTCTCACTCAACTGTCATGCTCCCAAATAGCTTTGAAATTCAAGAAATTCAAGCGCTAAAATCTCGTTGACGCCATCCAAATCCGGATTTCGCAACTCAATTGTTGTTAAAATTTCTGAACGATTCACCAAATCAAACAAATTCAAGTTGAAGTTCACAAAACGGAGCTTAGAGATATTTGGGATTGCGACTGAAGCTCGACCGATACTTGCCGCCAAACAAACCCCAATACCACTCATAAGAGCAACTCCACCGTGGGAGTTTGCTCGGGGGACAGTGGACCAAACAGGGCCTGAGAGCCCGAGTGACACACTCCAGCGTTGGGAGCCAGAGGGACAGTGCAGGCCCAAGCACCAAGCCTGTGAGGAATTGCCAACCCGAGAGCCTAAGTGGATATGACGCCAGGGCTGACGTCCACCTGGTGTCGGCCCAATTTTTTTTTTTTTTTCTGTCAGGCATGTGCGCCTCACTCGCGCGTGGGGGCGCGTCAACCAACAACTTTTCAGACTTTGGGCCCGCGTCGCAGTCTGCCAATGTTACCATTGGGAAGCCATGTGGCTTCCCACGGTCCGTTCAATCTCAACGGCTCTTTAAATTAGACTGTCCGATTTGCAACGGTAATAAAAATAAAAAAATCTTATTTAATATCAACCGTTGGATCTAAGATCAATGGTTGATATTATTATGCTTTATAAATAAATAAATAAAAGAAAAATAGTTTTAAAATTAAGAAATGTTACCGTTGTGACACGTGGCACAATCTGGAGTGTTGGAATTCAATTTTTTTTTAAAATCTAACGGTAGAGATTAATTAGTTCAATAAAAAATTTAAAAAAATTGTAAAAAATCCAAAAAAAAAATCTGAAAATTTAAAAAAAAAATATTGTTTTTACTTTTCTATAAATACATTTTCATTATCATCTACCTTACACCACAATTTCATATTTTCTCAACTACTTTCAATCAAAGTCCTATCTTTCTCTCAAAGTTTCAATCCAATTTTTTTCAACAAAATGACTATTGATGCAAGTACGAATTGGTCGCTTCTTGAAGATGTTGCATTGTGTACTAGCTGGGTTGAAGTTACTCATAGTTCGTTTACGGGTAATGAGATGCAGTTGCGAGAAATGTGGAGTCTTATTCATACCAATTATCTTGAGAAATTGGGTGGGAAAATAACCAAAGAATCGATGTCCAGTCGTTGGAAATTACTTAGCCAATCGTTTAGTACGTGGAAAGATGTCTTGGCACAAGCTAGTACTAATATTCGAAGTGGGGAAAATTACGCAGATCAGGTAACAGTAAATTATTTATTTGTTTGTACTATTTATTTATTACCTACTTTCATTTATAATTATTTGTTTGTATTATTTATTTGTTACCTACTTTCATGTTATAATTATTTGTTTGTATTATTTATTTTTTACCTACTTTCATTATAATTATTTCTTCTCCCGCATTGTGTAGCAACTTCAAGCACAGGCTTGGTATGGTGCCAAAACCAAAAGCAAAAATAAATCATTCAACTGATGGGAATGTTGGAATATTGTAAAAGATTGTCCTAAATTCAGAGTTGTGCATATCGGTCCAGAAGTTTTCATGAACAGCACCCCTCAACACTCTACACCCGATCATGGCTTGCATGTTCATGAAGATGATGCAGAAGAAGTGCCCGAAACGCCCCTCCCTGAACAAGCGTCAGGATCGACCCGTTATCCAATTAGGCCTCAAGGTAAGAAGGCTTCAAAAAGAAAAGGGAGTGCTTCCAAGAATGATTATGCAAAGTACATGGAAGAACTTGCTTGCCAAGGTGAATTGACTTTGGCGAGGCAAATGGCGAAGTTTAAGGTTGATAAGACTAGAGATGAGGCAAAAGCTGCAGCTGTTGAGAGAGAATTTCAAGCTAATGAGAGGGAAAGAGGGCTACTTAGGCGTGAAAGGGAACAGGTTAGAGAAGAAAGAATGACTCAACAAGATCGTGACATTATGAACACGCCTTTAGAAGGGAAGTCTCCAAATTCTAAATATTTTTAGAAGTCGGAGAAAGGGGATGTGGTGCGAAGGAGGCGTGCAAGAGAAGCAAGAGTAAGAAGAGATGGTCCTAGCACGACAAGAGCAGATCATCCTAGCACCACAAATTGGTTAAGTGATAATGAATAAAGTACTTTTTCTAATCAGAGCCCATAATTTTCCAATCCTTTTGGGTTGTAATATATTATTTATTGAATAGTGTACTTTATGTTGTTTCCAATTTATTGAATTTAATACTTTATTTATAGAGAGAGTAAATTTATTTAATTTGGTAAGTTATTTATACTATAAGAGAATATTGATTCAAATGACAAAAACACACCAAATAAAATTACATAAACATACCAAATAATTAAAAACTCAGCAAATAATTAAAAATGAACTAAAAAAAACACACCAAATAAAATTAAATAAACACACCAAATAAAAACAAACACACTAGATGAACTTAATTATCTTCAGCTTGTTTCAATGCCCACTGCTGCTCTATCAAGTCATTTTGCCGAGCATTATGCATATATGGCCTTTGAAGTGCAGTATATCGTTGAATGACCAATTCATTATAACGTCCATCCCTTTCTAATGGCTCATGTTGCACGGGTTCTTCGATAGCATCATGAGCACAATATATATGTGTTCTTGAATTGTTCATCGTGTCTGGCTCATATTCATCAACGGCATCATAATTGTACTCATCCTCCATAATTATGTTGTGAAGAATGATGCACGTTATCATGATGGATCGAAACGACTCTACATCAAACAATCTAGCAGCACCCCTGACGATCGCCCAACGAGCTTGGAGGATACCAAAACAACGCTCCACATCCTTCCTGCACCCCTCTTGACAGCTTACAAAGTGTTTTTCCTTTGCACTTCGCGGACGTGTCATTGTTTTGACAAATGTTGACCACCTCGGGTAAATGCCATCTGCTAGGTAGTATGGCCCATCGTACTTACGTCCGTTGACCCAGTACGTGACTTTTGGTGCCTTTCCTTGCAGGACATCGTTGAATACTGGGGATTGGGCAATGAAGTTGAGGTCATTTTGAGCTCCCGGAACCCCGAAAAAGGCATGCCAAATCCATGTATCAAAAGATGTCACCGCCTTTAAAATGATATTTTTTTTATCCTTTTCTGTCCTCATAAGCGCCTTGCCATACACTTGGACAGTTTTTCCAAGTCCAGTGCATACAATCGATGCTTCCAATCATCCCAGGAAAACCTTGCATCTCGTCATTCTTCAGAAGCCTTTGCAAGTCCATTTTAGTAGGTTTCCGGATGTACTTTGCGGTGTAGATAGATTTGATTGCTCTACAAAACCTCATCAGGGACTCAAGAATGGTTTATTTCCTCATCCTCGTTATCTCATCCACTTGGTCTGCAGATGCTCCATATGCAAGTATTCGCAAGGCAGCAATAATTTTTTGTTGAGGAAGGAGACCCATAGCACCAAAAGCATCATTTTTTTGAACAAAGTAAGAATCATGGTTGCAAACAGCAATCATGATTTTGTTGAACAAATGTCGTTCCATTCTAAAACGACGTCTAAAGTATGTATCAGGGAATGCATTATTATGGACAAAATAATCATCCAAGATTTCTGTACCTTGTCGTGCTTGCTTTTATCAAGGTTTCTGGAACGGTTAGGCCTGCATATTTGACCCATAGCTTGGATGATTCAACGGGAATGTGAGGCTCTGCCCATTCTTGCTTCGTCATCTCTCCTTCTACGCTTCTCATCATCTTCCCTCTCAGTTTGGGCCACCTAGAGATTGAACATTCCTTCTTATTGGTTAAACAATTCTTCATCTTGTTGATCGATTTCCCAGATCATCTTTGAAGAAGAAGACATTGTAAAAAAGAAGCAGAAACTATGAATAATGATAGAGAATTTGGTGACGAATGAAGCATAAACTATGAATAATGATAGAGATCTTGAGAAAATTGGTGTGAGATTTGTGAGGATGGATGGTGGATTATATAGAGGATTCAAAAAGGATTAGGTTGTAGATAATGTCACGTGGCATGCCCTCATTCGTTAAAAATATGATGGAAATCTATCCTCAAAGATTGTAAACATATTATGACACGTGGTGCGACGTGATTGGTTAATAATCTTATCGGAAATCCATCACCAATAATTGTATTTTCGGATAATGACACGTGGTGCAACGAGAATGATTAAAAAATTTATCAGAAATCCATCACCAATAATTGTCTTTTTCGGATTATGACATGTGGCGCAACGAGAACGATTTAAAATCTTATCCGAAATTACAAATAAAATTATTTTGTATTATTTTATAATTTTTCAGATAATGACACGTAGAGCAACGAGAACGATTAAAAATCTTATCTGAAATTACAAATAAAATTATTTTATATTATTTTATAAATAAAAAAATACTAATATTTTATTATCTATTGCCAGGCTGTTGAAGTCCAAAGATGAAGATGCAGAGGATTACTGTTTATTACAGTTACTGTTCGCTGGATAGGATAGTGCATTGCCTGGGAGGGTTCCACGCTGGAACTGCTCTAAGGTATCGGTTTCTTTCTAAGCATTGATTTTTTTCGTTAAATTCGATAAGTTAATTTTGTTTTTGGCTGTTTAGGGTTTTTGAATCTTCATATGTTCATGTGAATATCGTATTTCGTTTTTTTTTTCCCGAAAATTTAAGTAAAGTTGACGAAGTTCGATGCTTTTTCATCGTTATATTATCAGTTTACCAAAGACGGCTGATTTTGGTTTTCAAAGTTATTTGGGTTGTTTATGTGGTTTGATTTCTTTGATTTTCTGTAATTTCAGGGGTGGAGTTTCGTGGTTATGGAAGTGGAGTACAATCGAGATGACTCTCCGACCAGAGAGCACCGGGATGAAGGGATATATGATGATTTAGAGGAGAATGGGAATGATATGTCAAGCAGGCACCGGAGCAAGGATAGGAAGAAGAGTAGCCGAGGGGAAGAGATGGATGATAGAAGTAAAGACCGAGAACGATCAAGGAGTGATGTTGTAAAGGAAAGAGAGAAAGAATCTAAAGAGTTGGAAAAGGATCGAGTATCTAGCAAGGAAAGGAGGAAGGATGATAGAGATGACCGGTATAAGGATAAGAGTAGAGATAATAAGGTGAAGGAGAAAGATTATGATCAAGAGAGTCATAGAGAAAAAGAGCATGATAGGGGGAAAGATAGAAAGGAAAGAGGGAAGGAAAAAGAACGGGAGAAGGAGAGAGAGGTAGAGAAGGATAGTGATCGAGGACGAGAGAAAAAGAGGGGGAATAGGGATAAGGACAGGGAAAGGGAAAAGGAAAGGGACAAGGCAAAAGAAAAGGAAAGAGAAAAAGAGAGAGAAAAACATAAAGATCGAGAGAAAGGAAGGGAAAGCTATAAAGATACCGATAGGGAGAGGGCGAAAGACAAGTATAGGGAAAAAGAGAGGGAGTTGGATCAAGATAAGGATAAATCAAGAGACAGAGGAAGCAGGAGAAGCCTTGAAAGAGATGACAAAGCGAAGCTAAATGGTGATGACAACAGGGATAAAGACATTCTTAAGCAAAGGAAGGTTTCCCATAATGCTGAGGACGAACAGCATACTGACAGCTTATCAAGCAGAACACATCTATCAGCATCGGAGCTTGAGGAACGCATCTTGAAGTAAGTACGTCTTCATTTATGTTCTCTTTATGCCATATTTTATTTATGTTGTCAACCTTTTTCATTGTTTGAATTATTTCCGCTCCATCTCCCATTTTGCATTAAGCATTATTGCATCTCGTTGCTCTTTGTTGGGAACCGAAGAAGTTGGATTTTGGAGTATTCAAGCATATAAAGTGATCTTATGGGCAACCTGAACTTGTCTGTGACATACAATATGCATAATATTCTTGGGCTATGTGCTTCGAAGTTAATAATAAGCAGAATGAAATATGCAAAAGCATACTGGCTGTTTATTAAAAAAAAATAGAATTAACGTCTCCTAAAGGATGAAAACAATCATTGTCATCCATTTGGTTTATTGTGTCAAAGTAAATGACATCACTTGAAGAGAAATGTGATTGTAGTATGTTAGCAGTGTTCTATTTGAAGTTTGAACCAACTATCAATTACTTATTGACAACTTTGCTTGGTATATTGTATCTTGTGATTTTGGTAGGTATTCTAGTTATATCTTGATATTGCCTGCATTTTCTGAGGAGTCACTTTGTTCTTCACACAACTTCAGTTATAAATATGGTTGTTCAGTTTGCTTAGGAGTTATTTGTGCTTGACACAATTTTGGTTACAACTTATGATGGTTCCTTTTTTTTTTGCATTCTTTTTTTTTATGGACTTGCTGCCTTTTATTTTGAATGTAGCCGAATGATGGATGTTATGGGAGAGTGGGTCTGTTCTTTCTGAATTTTTCAACTACATGGGTTCTACTTTAATCTAATTTGAACAATCAAAGATTGTAACATTCTTGCAGATGGTGGCAATATAATTATATCGATTTCTATACATAGATGTATTTAAACACTTATTTTAAGGACATTGCCATGTAACATGTGTATATTTCTTTGCATCGGCTTCAAATGAGTTATATTGGGTTTGCTTTATTCTCAGGACAAAGGAAGAGAGATTAAAGAAGAAAACAGAAGATGTTCCTGAGGTTTTAGCATGGGTTAGTAGGAGTCGTAAGATTGAGGAGAAAAGGAATGCAGAAAAGCAGAAAGCTATACAGCTTTCTAAGATTTTCGAGGAACGGGTCAGTGTGATAGTGTTCCTGTTGTATTGTGTTTACGCTTGTTGATTTATAATTACCATTCATATAATTTTGATTATTCTCAGGACAATATTGGTCAAGGAGAAAGTGAAGATGAGGAGACAGCCCAGGATCCCACTCGTAAGATTCCTTCTCACTTGAGATATTTTTTTAATATTCGTAATAGAAGCTAAGGGTCTTTGGGACGTCAGCAAGAATTAGAATTTAGTTGTTTTTTCATTTTATATTTGAGCACATATAATATGTGGGGCTATGGTTAAGGTAGAATGTATATTTTATGTAGAACTTGTAGAGTTACAGAATTTGTTTGACACCTGAGCACGAAATAAAAAATACACCGACCTTGAGGACTTGTGTCTGTATGCCTCTAGAGGGTTGATTCAGTATTCTGACAATAGCACCTGCTCTTGATACATGGTTTCTATATCTGTAACAGTAGTACATTTTAGAGTTTGGTTCACTTTTTCAGTTGACCTGTCAATAATGTCTGAATGACTTAGTTACAATCTATGACGCTTTTTCTGTGTTTCTTGGTTGATTGATATCACCTTACTCTGAATACCTGTTTACAGATGATCTAGCTGGTGTTAAAGTTCTTCATGGCCTTGACAAAGTAATGGAAGGCGGGGCAGTTGTTTTAACACTCAAAGATCAGAATATTCTGGCCGATGGTGGCATTAATGAAGGTAAAGAAATTTTGAGTTACTTTGTTTTCCTCAGGGCCCACTGCCTCTTGTAGGCATGGATGTTTTAATTTTATATTGTTTAATATAGGTTTTTGTTTCAATGTAACAGACATTGATATGCTTGAGAATGTGGAAATTGGAGAGCAGAAGCAGCGAAACGAGGCTTACAAGGCAGCAAAGAAGAAAACGGGGGTTTATGTTGATAAGTATGTTAACCATAATTATAAAGTGTAATAAAAATTTTGATTTGCCAAAAGCAACTTAATTGTTGGGTGACATTGTCTACTCTAGCCGCCTAGTATAATCTGGAATTTTTCCACATATCTCATTGCCCACACTGGTTGGTATTAACTATATGTATGTGTTATGGTGTATCAGGTTTAATGACGACCCTGCTGCTGAGAAGAAAATGCTTCCGCAATATGATGATCCAATCCCAGATGAGGTGACTATATCATTGTCTCCCCTACTTTTTAGTTTAGACCCAGTGTTTTCCCTTGTTCATGTACATTAGTTTGAAACATTGAGCATGGAACATGGTTGTGATATGTGAATTTATGTTTATTTTCAGGGGTTAACTTTAGATGAAAGAGGACTCTTTACCGGCGAAGCAGAAAAGAAAATTGAAGAGGTACTATTTTCTTTCTCATCATAATTTTGTGAGGGGTAATAAAAAAAGAGAATAGGATTTCAGAGCATTTGGTGCAGTAAATTGAATTGGTGTTCTCATAGGTGTTGCTTTCTGCTTTTTGGTTTGTTCCCTATCTTTTGAGCTATGATCCTTTGAAGTTTATGGTGTGATCTTACTGCTTTTAGATAAAGGCAAAGAAACAAAAATGAAAATGAAAAGAATAACAGTGGCTTTTTTTCTTTCTGCTAGCTACATAAGAGGATACAGGGTGTTCCCACAAAGAACTGCATTGAAGATCTCAACATGTCTGGGAAGATCACATCTGATTTCTATACTCAAGATGAAATACTTCAGTTTAAAAAACCTAAGAAAAAGAAATCCTTGCGGAAGAGGGAGAAGCTAGACATAGAAGCCCTTGAAGCAGAAGCAGTATCTGCAGGGTTGGGTGTTGAAGACCTTGGTTCTAGGAATGATGCAAGGAGGCGTGCCAATAAAGAGAAGCAAGAAAGATTGGAAGCTGAAAGGAGAAATAGGGCATACCAGTTGGCTTATGCAAGAGCGGATGAGGCATCTAAATCATTGCGACTGGAACAAACTCTTTCAGTTAAACGAGAGGAAGATGAAACTCCCATCTTCGTAGATGATGACGATGATCTGTATAAATCCTTAGAGAAAGCAAGGAAATTGGCTCTTAAAAAGAAAGAGGAGGAAAATGCTGTATCTGGTCCACAAGCAGTTGCTCTCCTTGCCACCACCACTGCCAGCAGTCAGACTGCAGAAGAGCAAATCCCCTCAACTGGAGAGGCACAGGATAACAAGGTTGTCTTGACCGAGATGGAAGAGTTTGTCTGGGGCCTCCAGCTTGATGAAGGTATATTCTATCTTTGTGTTTTTGCTTTTTCAACCTTAGGGTAATGTGTAATTGATTTTCTATTGGCTGAGGGTGGGGAGTCCTTCCTTTCCCATCTTAGACATCATGTCATAATGGTCATCATCTTATAGTTAGCTGGTGGCCATCTTTCTATTCCACCAAATTCCAGATCGTGCATTATGAATGTCCAGTTGAGGGGTACGATGTTGCGACTTTTTACATGCCAATTAGATCTTTGTTTTTCTGCTTTAAATTTGTTTAATGGTGTGTCAAGTTGTGAGCCTTCTGCAAGCTTTACAATGTTATTCTCAAGGAGGTTTTGATTATAACCTTCTACACTTGTGATATTTTTGAATGTCCTGGCGCTACATCACATTTTCATCTATAATAGAAAATGACTTTTATCCTTTGTTGTACCTTTTCAGAATCCCACAAGCCTGAAAGTGAAGATGTTTTTATGCAAGAAGATGAACCCGAAGTAACTCATGAAGAAAAAATGGATGAACCTGGTGGATGGACTGAAGTTAATGATATGGGTGAAGACAAACAACCTGCTAATGAGGATAGGGAGGAGACAGTTCCTGATGAAACAATCCATGAAGTTGCAGTTGGGAAGGGCTTATCAGGTGTACTGAAGCTGCTTAAAGATCGAGGAACCCTTAAAGAAGGTATTGACTGGGGTGGTAGAAACATGGACAAGAAAAAGAGCAAACTTTTTGGTATTGTAGATGATGATGACGAGGAGCAGCCAAAGGAGACCCATACATCACGTCAAAAAAAGGATGAACAAAGGGATACTCGTTCATCCTCTTCCAGCCATCAAAAGGATACTCATGCACCTAAAGTCTATCAGGAAAAGGATATTCGCATTGAGAGAACCGACGAATTTGGCCGAACTGTAAGTACTTCTGTTCAGTTCTTTTACAGTTAATTTGTTTTTATGGTTTGACATGGTTACATTGTGGTGAATCTGGTCATAGAGTTATATTAGCCTTAGTCAATTGATAATTTCTTATGCCTTTTACACGGCCTCAATTTTAGGGTTGGATGTGTTGCTCTTTAAAAGCTGAGTAGTAGGCAAGAATATATATGTTCTGATCTTTGTTTCATTAGCGATAGTATATTAGCTACATTCAATTTAAATATTCCTGTGCTTATTCCACGAAGAAGTTTTGGGTTTGGAAATCTGTGGTGCATGCATTATTTTGTATGTTTTTATCTTTGCTTCATCAGTGATCATGTAGTATTATTATTATTATGCGCTGCTAACGCATTCCTTGTTTTCACCAGTTGACGCCCAAGGAAGACTTTAGGATACTTTCTCATAAGTTCCATGGGAAGGGGCCTGGAAAGATGAAGCAAGAAAAGCGCATGAAGCAATACCAGGAAGAACTAAAGTTGAAGCAGATGAAGAGTTCAGATACGCCATCACTGTCTGCAGAGAGGATGAGGGACACTCAAGCTTGCTTGCAGACACCTTATCTTGTTCTCAGTGGCCATGTTAAACCAGGGTATGCTTTTCAATCATTTCATTCAACTCATTTTGTTTTTGGTTTTGGATCAATTATTACTAGTTTCAGTAGGATTTGACTATTACAGCTTTAAACAAGAAAATCACTAAGGTAGGCTTGGAGTTGGTATGTGTGAGATATTCATATGTTATAACGGTGATTTACAACTTAAAAAAATGACTCAATTAATTCTCGAAATGTTAAACACTTACCTGAATATCTTAATTTGAAGAATTGAATAAGAGACGTGAGCTGTGGTATATGCTTCCCTGCTTTATCTTTTCTGTCTTTATTCGACATTAGAATTCCCAATTGATTTACCCTTTTCCCAACTTTGTTCTCATGTTTCCAGGCAAACTAGCGATCCCAGAAGTGGTTTTGCAACAGTTGAGAGGGATCTCCCAGGAAGCTTGACCCCCATGCTTGGTGACAGAAAGGTGAGTGAACTCGTACAGTACTTTGCCCTGGTTTCTTGATGTTGATCTATATAAAATGCTTCTAGATGATATATTACGTAATGTATTGTCTTATGTGTAGCAGGTGCTGATAGTTTGTAGTAGAATATCTGTGTTCATTCATTTGTGCCGTTCTTTTCTCTTCCCTTTTTTTTCATTCATTTCCATAGAAAGAATTTCTTTTGTTCTTTTTTCTTCAGGTTGAACATTTCTTAGGAATAAAGCGCAAAGCTGAGCCTGAAAGTTCAGATACACCAAAGAGGCCTAAAACTTGAAGTTGACGTTGGTTGAATTTTGGAGTTGACCATCAACATTTTCAATTTCTTGGCCCCTGTACAGAGCTGTGGAGAGAATTTTCAAGGTAGGCTCTGACGGTTTCGACAGTATTAAAAGAGATGTTATTTTCTGTTCTGAGAATATATACGTAAAACTATTTCTTCCTTGAACAGGGTGTTCTATTTGGTGTCTAAGGATTTCATTTGATCTGAGGTGTGACTGGACCTTGGAGGTAGACGAGAATAGACTCGTGGTTTGGAGTTTCTCTACTACGCATCAATGTATGCGATGCATTGTTCAATTGAAGAGCTAGATTTGGATGAAATCATCGTGTTTGACGGTCTAAAGGATCCCACAGTGCAGTGTGTTGCATGTTCTCAATAGGTTCATAAATAGAATGTCGCCACACCACTCGTTAAAGTGCGAGGGGAAACCACAACTCCGGTAGCAATACCGTCAGGTATCGGAGATAAAACCATTTCTACTTGCTTGCAGGCTAGTAGCTCGTTGGCGACTGTACATGGTGGAGATGAAAACTTTTAGACAAAGAAGAAAAATTAAGACTCGAATCCTCCACAATCCTTCAAATACTTGATCTTGATTTTTTCGAGTGTTGCCGGAGCATCTTGCATGCTAATCCTCTCCTGGCATTTCTGCAGGACAAGCTAGAGCCAATCTCTTAACGGATGATATGCAATTCCTCAGGCTCTCGACTCTACTTAGTCGAGATAAAGTTTTGTTGTTATACATATGAACGGTTGAGATTTAAGATTTAGTTAAATTTTAACGGTTCACATGTGAAAAACAAGTGCGCGGGAGAATTGCCAAGCCAACTAAACACCACGTCATACATGCTTTTATCACCTCTACACTCTCTTAGCCATTAGATTGAATAACACGACCGAATAATTATTAAGGGGCAAAATTAAGCATGTGCAGAAATCACTTTACTAAATAAATTCCTGGAGAAATGTACACAATGCAATAAAAAAAAAAGTCTATTTAAATTTCTTATATCCTTTGTTACTAGGAAATTAATTTTATTGAAGGCTGAGGAGACCTTTAGAATTATTTTGTGAAGGAACAAATAAGTGAAGATACGACTAAGAAGTTAATTTAGTCGTTGCAGATGCAAAGAGAAAGGTACAAGAAAATGGACTGAAAAAGTGCCAAAACCCGGAGAACAGACCAGGGCTCAAAACACAGCCAGATTATCCTAGTTTTAACTCAAGAAGCGAGACAATTCGGAACCACTGGCCGCACTTGAAGCGGCCAGAAATCGAGGAATCAGCTCAGGGCTCGAAAGTCATGCTTTCAGCTTCCCGTCTCACCGACTCAAACAACACAGAGGAGAGATACCTCTCCCCAAAGCTTGGAAATATCACCTGCAATGCATAGACGTGTATTAGGAGTTGGACAAAATGCTAATACAAGGTCAGTGTAACTGAAAGGGAGTGATCCAACTTACAACAATGAGCTTTCCAGCATTTTCTGGTCTCTTTGCAATTTTAATTGCAGCGGCGGCAGCAGCTCCAGATGATATTCCCACCTGGAACAGATAATCAGACGCTTGTAATTCAATGCAAAAGCTGTAATACGGTGATTGATCATAGTTATGGCAGATAATCAAATGTGATGGCTCGAAAACAAAGATATTAACTAACTACTGATTTTTTTTTAGGGTAAGAACTTACAAGCAAACCCTCTTTATGTGCGAGAAGCTTTGCAGTTTCAATTGCTTCATCACTTGATATCTGCAATGCATCACAGATTTATAAACGGGAAGCAGTAATAGCAGTTAGAAACAAACTAACAAGCTGTTTTTCCTATGTTCTTTGCAGAGAGTTAAAGGCATTCCAAATGAATAATCAATGGCCGTGCTTATACCAGCTCACAGAAATTGTTGGCCATTCATACATTCGTCCATCAAAACACTACCAAGTGAATAAATCCGGCTCAAGTGCCATTTCCAAAACTGATTGTATCACAAATAACAATACAACGATTTATATCAATTAAGAAAAAAAAAAACCTTTGAGCCTTACTTGAATGACTTCATCGATGATATTGACTTCCAAAACACCGGGGATAAAACCAGCTCCTATTCCTTGGATCTTGTGTGGACCTTTACATTAGAAGGAGCGTAATAATTAGCATCAACAACGTGCAAGCAAAAACTAGAATTGCCCGTCATGTATAAACATATAAGATAAGTGTGCTTTATGTAAAAGATTGAGGGAAACCTATATTATGTAAGCCATGTATGGTAGAATTAGGATTTAGGAACAATTTTCACTCCAACAAATTTTCTAGTTAATAAATCAGAAGCCAACTGAAAGTTGAAAACCAGAAGCTACAGAAAATAAGAGTCTTAAAACATTCTGTCAGTAACAGAAGCAAGAGACTCATTCCACCGAAGTAGTAACTGAGTATCCCACAACGAAACTCCTCTCCATGCTACCAGTCACATCTGAGATCAGTACTCTAACTGATTATTACAGCCCTATCTCCATCAGAAACCCAATTACATTTGCAAGGCCGAAAATCTTAAATGAAATTACGAACAAAATTTTCTCTAAACTAGTGAAAAGGCCAGTAAATAGATTGCAGGCGCGGGATTATGCAAGGCATACAAATAATCTCAGAGCAGCAATGCAGTATAACTCACCAGGCTTTCCTCCAGTTAGGACGGGACTTTCGACCGGTTCCACACCATACAGCTAACATTAAGAAATAAAAAGGAACACAACAAGACAAAGTAAAAGAGCATCAGAATATGAAGAAAGTACAGACTATTGTTCAGGTCTTCTTCAAAAGAAGCTCAAAAACAAATATACTTAAGAACCTTGTAGATTAAACTTTAAGATGCGAGCTAACCTTTATGTCAGGATTCTTCTCCTTTAGAAACTTCCCTGCACCTGTTATAGTTCCACCTGTACCTATCCCAGAAACAAAAGCATCTACTTTCCCTCCTGAACCTTCCCATATCTCTGGTCCAGTGGTTTCATAATGTATCTGCAATAAAAAAATCGAATCACTTTTTCCGAGCACAATATGCCTTTAGTTTTTCTTCAAGTTGCATCAGCTTTATATGATGTAGATGCTGGAGTAGATACCTTAGGGTTGGCCGGATTTTCAAACTGCTGAAGAATGTAGGCATTAGGTGTCTTTGCCAATATCTCTTCAGCCTTCTGAACAGCCCCTTTCATGCCCTTTGCAGGATCCGTGAGAACCAACTCAGCTCCAAAAGCCCGAAGGATGATTCTTCTTTCAAGACTCATTGAAGCAGGCATTGTAATGATAAGTTTGTAATGCTTAGCTGCTGCCATGAAGGCTAATCCTATCCCAGTATTACCACTTGTTGGCTCGATGAGGACACTCTTCAGAAAACACCATCCAACCAAAGTCAGATTCAATGAAAATCAGTCAGATCATAGTTTCCATCAAATAAAAATCCCATATCATCTTTCTATCATTATACCAGCATCGCATGGGAAGCTCAGAAAATTGCCGAAACCAAAATTTTTAGTAGTTTTACGAAATGTAGACTATTATTAAATGTTTGCAATTTTTGCTTAATATTTCTAATGCAAAAAAATCTCTCTCATCACACACAGTCCACTCATGTTTTCAGCTAAGACATCCCATGAGAAAAGCGTAGTTGCATCTTTTTCATCATTAGAAATTGACATAAACACCTGCTAGTGGAGAAACCAAGAATAGTACACGGGGAAGGTGGTTGCGTCCTCTGTTTCATGCACAAATTCACCCAGCAAGTTTCCCTATAAAATAACTAACCTGCCCAGGTGTGATAAGGCCTTTCGCCTCAGCATCTGCAATCATACTATAGCCAATCCTGCATTGTTTTTCAATAATTAGGAACCATAACAGAAATCAGAGCAAAACCGCAACACTTTCAGGTATAGCTGCCGCGAAAGCAGCAAGCGTACAAAAAAACGATCAAGTAGTAAGCCATACAACTAAAAAGCCCATATACCTGTCTTTTACACTGGAGCAGGGCTCCATCATTTCCAATTTGGCAGCGATTCGAGCAACACAACCTTCCACGACTTGGTTCAGATACACCAACGGGGTTTTTCCAATTAACTATACACAACGAAACAGATGTTTCCAGCATCATGAACATAAAAAAAAACCATTGAAAACACCATACTCTAGTACACATAAAACTCGGATATTCGACAACTTACTTCGGTAACATCTTTGGCAATGCCAGCCTTCTCGACTGCCATTTTGCTTCTTTTACAGATTACTGCAACCAAAAAACACACCCGGTACTTAAAATTTATTCCTAACCACAATTACAATAAATTTTAATTCTTCATGGAATAAAAAAAATAAGTCAGAAAATTTTAACACAATCATTTGCAAAAATAAGAAAAGGACCGCTAAGCTATCAACTAAAAGATTAAAGAATATTTTCTTGAATGTGTTTCAAATTTCAATTGCTGCAACCAAAAACACACCTGGTACTTAAAATTTGTTCCTAACCACAATTACAATAAATTTTAAATCTTCATGGAATTAAAAAAAAAATTCATTAAAAAATCAAGTCAGAAAAATCTAACACAATCATTTAGCAAAAATAAGGAAACGACTGCTATGTTATCAACTAAAGGATTAAAGAGTATATTCTTGAAATGTTTCAAATTTCAATTACTTTTTCTAACGATTTTCGTAATCTGATTATGATCAGGGTGAGAGGGTTTTGTCGCTGGTTTTGAAAGAAAAAAAACCCAGACAATGAGTTTAATTTGGAGAACGATGAGCTGAGTGTGGATGTGATGAGTGAAAGAAAAACAGTTTAAAAGCTATGATTAACACTTAATTAAGAGAGAAAGATTGAGAATTTCACCAGGAGACTGACAGATAATCACCACCTCACAGCCGATGAACACGCCTTGTGAAGAAGAAGATCAAGATGTATGTGTGTGTGTGTGTATGTATATATATATATTTGGTTCAGAAATATGACGTCATAAATACTGTTATCGTTTTCTTATGGTTGTATGTTGAATCTAGCCTGCTTTTAGGTATTCGTACTTAATATGGTATCGTATTAGGCATCAAGCCTCCAAAGTACAACTTGAGATTCGATCACACCAATTTATGTCCCTACAAAAAATTTGCACGTGCAATTTATGACATCCCCCAATCACTTTTTTTTTGTGATTAAATTGAATAAATTAAATGACAAAGCTAAACACATGATTATACACTATTCAAACAAAATGCAAAAATCACATTTTATGTGTCTATTTGATTGATAATCATTTTGTTTTTATGTTCATTGAAAATCAAAAACTGCTAATTTTTAGTAAAATCATAAAACTAAAAGTAATTATTAAATGAATATCAATTTAAAAACACATAGAGTTTAAAATTAAAAATAAAAGTTTACAAACTCATTAGCCCACGCCTCGTAATAAAAAAAATAAACCACACAAAAACTGCCCCTCAGTACTGGAGAAGGCATTGGACGGTCGATCAGAGCGAAGGAATGCTGAGTGATGATGTGGTGGAAGGCGGGTACACATTGCTGTGCGTGTCGTACCCGAAATGGGATTGTCACGTTCGGACAATCCCGGAAGATGAGCTGCTGTCACTGCAATTAGCAACTGCGAATGAGTGAAATTTTTTGGATTTTGGCAACTGGGGAATTGGCACATGTTTGTATTGAGTTGAGTTGTGGGTTGTTGAATACAGGTGATTTCTGTTTTGTTTTGTCACTCATGATGTGTGTTGTGTGCTGCTAATGTTTTTGTTTTGTCCTCAATTCTCAGCACAGGAGAGCATGGCAGTCCCCTCTCCTAGCTCGAAAGAGAGTAATTCCCAAGCCGAGGGTTTTCGTTGTTGAAAGGGGAGAGCATGGCACAGTGATAGACTGAAGCACAATTTCAAGCTTACCCTCCAATCTCTCCCCTTTCCTTGGTGTGTAAATCACATCATGGATATCATCTTCTAATGCCCTCTGCGCGAGAATTTCCCCCACACCAGCACAAGCAGCTGCATTCCTAGTCGACCCAAGGTCAAATTTCATGTCCTTTGATATGGAATGTGCCACAACGACAACCTTACTGGTGACTCGGTGAATGATGCACGCACGAACAGAAGCCTTTGATATAAAAATGTCCAGGCAAAACGGCTCATGGAAAGGACCTGTCAGCTGATTATATAAGTCGGAGTTCTCAGCTTCTTCTTCCCAACATGAGTGTCCAATTCATCAAGTGGACAATCGTCCACAATTCTAGTTTGCTTCTTGCTTCTGGAGGGCAATTCACAACTTGGGTTGTCTCTTTTGCTATCCTTTAACTCATTTCCCTTCCTTTGACTTTCCTTTGGGTCATCCTTTTGCTTAGAAGACTTCTTCCTACGATGGAAGTCGAAATTGTACTCTTCAAACTCTTTGGAATCTCGGTCAAGCTTAAAGAAGAGATTGCCGTGAATTCTCATGTTGTCAATGTCATCAAAATCCGGATCACCTTCAACAGCTGCTCTGCAACTATCAATTGGCTCATCAACCACTTCATCCGATAACGCACTTGAGTCCAATGCAGACCCCTGCATTCCTGCCCCTGCCAATGCCAACCCGGATGAAACCTGCCACGCATCATCATCAACAAGCTCAACACCATAACTGTCTGAATGAGGTTTAGAATCATCTGAGGGTAACAACGGAGAAAGATGAAACGAGCAGCCCTTGAAGGGAAATGCGGAGATAGTGCTGAAGCAAATGTGCTTCCTTTCCTTGAGAACATCATAGTAAAGAGTAACTTGGGTCTGGTATTGTATCTTGATTTAAGCAAGAGAGTTCTCTAAGGAGCAAATCATCAAACACTTGGTAGGCATTTACTGCTATACCTCGTTTCAGCTAACCATCAAGAGAGTTCTCTCATAATTGTTGTCCCACCCAGCTGCGATGAAGCTCTCTCTCTCTCTCTCACTCTCTCTCTCTAAACTGGTCACCTGGTCAGTCCTAGGACCCAGGTCTTATGGAGGAAGGGATACGCCATTAGATGTTCATACCTTCAGACGAATGCCATTTAGAAGGAAAGGTGGCATCCGTTATTACCAGCAACGGCCATCAATCCGACCAAATAAAAGTTGAACGGTCTAAATTGAACTAAACCACAATGAATTGTTTAGTTATCATCTTGAGCTTTTGTAAACCCGACCCACGGTGACGGCGACGGCGTGGCGTTACCGGACTCCGAGACACGACACAATCAAGAAACATAAAAGGCGGGTGATAAAACCAAATGGATTCAAGGAATAAGAATGCAAAAGAAAATAGGCAAATAAAGCTCGCGTGGATGATTTCGAAGAAACAGAAGGAAATCGATTTTGCAAGACAGATTAAAGGCAGAGAAACTGCAATATCGGCAAAACCAAAATGCTTTCTCCTCATTCAGGTTTTAACCGGAAACAAGCGCATCCCATCACTAACCTCGCAACCTACATAACAGCAGCGATATGCAGTCACAAAAGATAAAGGCCCTCCAAACATGAAGCTTAGAGAGCGCCATAGAGAATCGAAGAGAACACCAAAGAGAGGGAGAAAGAGAGAGCCATAGAGACCACCACAGAGAAGCAGTAAATAGTCTTTCTACAACTAAACTGAGAGCAGTGGCGGTACGGTGGGTCGATGTTTCAAGTCATCCTAACAACATTTTCACAATGACCTACTACTACAGTTTGATCAACATTAGAAATACAACTTGCCACCATGACAAAGCAAGAAGCATGACGATATATCATGATTAACACACACATCGCTACCATTTAAACGGTTAGTGATTACAAACAAGCCATTATAAAAGTTGATGAGATCTGGAGTCATCATATCAGTGGTTACCGTCTTCAAACGAGTTTTGTCATGTCTATCGGTAGTAAGCCTGCTGATAAGCTGGTACCATACCGTTGCCATAAGCTGCATAGGCGGGATAGTTCATCGGAGCTCCAGGGTATGATCCGGCAGGAGGAGGGGCTGCTTCGGGCGAGTATGCATAAGGGGTTGGTGGGCTTCTGCTGCCATACATGGTGGGTGGGGAATGGTACGGTGAGAACCCAGCAGGATACTGGCCATGGGATGGAGACATGACAAATGTAGGTGGAGTTGTAGGGAAAGAAGACACATATGCATTCGTCAAGCGTCCGGCCTTGGCTGGAGGCATGGGACCACCGTTGTTAGCTCGTGTTCGCTTGTTGGCTGGGACTACAACTGGCCTTTTCTTCTCTGGTTTCACCTTCTCTAGCTGTTCAAGGCGCTTCTTGAGGTTTTCTGGAGGAAATTCTGTCTCTAAGTTATAATCTTCAATGCACTTCACGACAGCCCGAAGCGCTGACAGCTCTTTGCGTCCAGCTAGGTTCTGCATAACAAAAGATTACTGATCAAAGAAAGTGCAGGTTTTTACAGGTTTAGTTGTTTCTACAAATAATGAAGGAAGCAAACTGAAGTTCATGCACTTCTAGGGGCATTTTTCAAAAAAATAATCAGAAAGCCCACAATGATGTCTATAATTGCACAACGCCTTATCATGTAGACATCCATCGCAAATACCATCATGCCTAATTAGAAAAATTATTAACAATTTGAAGATAAGGGTGCACCAATACTCAATATACCTTGCATTTATTTCTATATGAACTGCCTGCATTATTGGTGAGAAAACAAATTCTTATTGCATCTTGACCACTTAATTGATGCATAAAGGACTCATATTCCAACCAAACAGAAGAGTTTATTGTCCCAAAACTTGTCTAACTATATAGATGTTCCAACAATAAGATAAAACCGACATGGATACACACTATGGGAGCAAACCTGATGAAATAACTAGTAAGAATTGTGGGGAAGAAATTTGATCATGTTCAAAATGGAGAGTGGAAAGAAAGAAATACAGTGAAAATATATAATTCAGCTCTTTTGTCTTTAGGCTTGACATATAAGAGAGAAATATGGTGAAAACATATAATTATACTCTTTTTCTAGGCTTGATATATATACATTTGACTTTTTGTTCACACGTAATTAGTAAAGCGTAAGATGTTAACATCCTGCATATCTTTTAGATGGCTGTCATTCTCTCCATTATAGGAGAGAGTGTTTTTGTGAGGGCGGGGGAGTTCCCGCTCCTACTTTATACACAAACAAAAAGGTATAAGTTCCTCTGACATTCCTTTTCTTTCTTCTCTCTTTCTCTCCTCCCAATCATTTGAGAAGGGGGGAGTGGGAAAAAAGGAACTTTGAAGGAAATGACACGGGAGTTCTGGAAAACAGAAGGTGACACACACACACACACGCACAAAAACTCTCCATGCAGAGAGAAAGTGAAGAGAAAACCAAAAACACGAAAGAACCGGACATCACTTTGGGATGCATATTCAGGACTCAGAGTCACGACATAAGAGATCAAGACAAGAATAGGAGTGATTAAAATAATACCGCAGCTCGCCCAGCATTATTGGGATCTTCCAAAATAGAGGCTGCAGCCTTCTTAGCATCTTTCAGAAAAGCTTTCAGTAGAGGAACAGGAGGAAACTTGTGCACAAGTCCAACTTCATAGGTGAAATGCACCGCATCAAGCTGTTGTCCCCTGCTGATCAATTCTTCAATCATATCTGCACATAGTAACAACCCCAAACGTTAAAAATTGGAGAATGCTGCACTCTTATTGTACACATAACGAACCATATCAAAACATTCCCAAGTAACACAGATAGCAAGATGGAACAGAAAAATATCTTTACGAAACTACTACAAGGTCAATGAATATGCCATCATATTGTTAAAATCATTGGAAAAAAGAATATTAACGATTCAAAGTTAACTAGATGATTTAGCCCTCGATTGTTCATAAAACATGTACATATACAACACCGGTTATCTACAGTTTGTACCGTCCACATGTTCTGATTTTAAAGATAGGTCAGAGTTTCGAATTAAAAATTATTTGGAATATAGGCAGATCCAACATCAGTCATGTGGGGATTTTGTTTCTTATAGAAAAATATAATATAAAAAAATACACCACAGTCAAATCTCATGTATAAGGTAAACATTGCACTGGGAAAACCTGAAGACTAATGTTGATAACAAGAATCTAGTTAAAAATTCTACAAATATTGGAAAGAGTGGTAATTTCGACATAGACGCCGGCTGTCGAGATATAAAATGACCTTATAAATCGCATTTGTCTCACTCAAAATTTACTAACCACATAGAAAAATCACCACTTCCTCATCCTATATATAGAGAGAGATTATAAAGTCTTGACACATTTTCAATAAACCATAAGCAATGGCAAAAGAACTGCATAGAAAACGTAGCAAATACACAATCAAAGAAAAGAAACAAGTTAGCATTAGGGAACGCACCAGGCATTTGCTTGGCGAGGCCAAGCGAAACGGCGAGCTTTGGCATCTGCTTGCGCCAGGCTGAGCTAACCACAAGCTTTCTATAAAAATCAACATCCTCCTCCTTCACAATCCCGAAAGTCACCAAATGCTGCAGGAACGTGTGCACATCAGGAGTCTTCACGTTCTCTATGCCGCCTCTCTCCTCCAAGCTGGCCTTCCAAGTCTCGGCCATCTCCGTGGCGCGTTGCTTCACGCTCCGCGTCACCAGAAGCCTCTTTCTCCCGATCTTCGGGTCCACCACCACCGGAATCAGCGACTCCAGCAACAGAACGCAGGCCCAGCCCAAATCGTTTCCCCTATCGCTCCTCTCCAGTCTCTTGTCCACAGGAAACACCTCCGATATCGCCTCCAGCACGAACTTCGCCGGATCGACACAATCGCCCAAAGCCACAGGCATCTGCGACCTCAGACCCTCCAATTCCTTCTTCCTCGCCGTCACGAACCTCCAGAACCCTCCAGAATCCATCTTCAAGCACAACGACTTGAGATTCATCAGCAATCCCTCGCCGTCGTCCACCTCCCCGTACTCATCGTCGCTGCGGCCTCTCTTCAACACCTTGAGCGCCGCCTCCTTGCTCTTCTCGACCTTCCCGAGCGCGATCTCGAAGCTGTCCCTGATCGTGACCTCGCGCTGCTCGAGCTCGTCGAGCGACGCCTTGGTCTCTTGCTCCAGAGTCTGGATTTTGAGCTTGATGGCCTCAGATTTCTTCAGGAGGTTCTGCTCGAGGGACGAGAAGTGGTCGGAGAGCTCCTTCCAGAGGAGAGTGCAGCTGGTCATGAGAGAGGTCTGCCGCTGGAACTCGTCGAAGCTCGGCGGAGTCAACTCAGTCAACTCGCCGGGATCGGGGATCGACCCCATGATCGTTGTACGGTGCAGCACAGCGGCAAAAGGGAAAGAAGATATGGTGGAGAGAGAAGGAGAAACCCTAGAACTCGGAGGGTAGAGAGAGAGAAAAAGCAAAAGTAAAAGCTTGAGCTGTGAGCTTAAGCGAAAGCTAAGGGAGCCGGTGGACAGGAGAAAGAAGAAGACATTGAGCTGACGTGGGTGGAGGAAGGGATCGACACGTGTAGAGGCGTCTCATAAAGGTGGCTAGAATGCGCTGGCGGGCGGGAGAAGGCGCTAGAGTGAGCGGGAGGGGGAGGGTGCGCAGGATAAGGGAGTTGGTAAAGTCGGGGTCGGGGGATGCTGACGTAGGATAAGGGGGTGTTTGGATGATGGGATTGTGCTTTCTCGGAAACCGAAGTTGGATCAAGGGAGAAAAAGGTAGGGGTGGGGCAGGCCCACTGAGCGCAACACATGGGGATGGGAATAAGAGGAACAGGAATGGGATTGGATGGTGAGGAGGAGTCAGATAAAGTGAGAGGCATATGCCGGGTTATGTAGTCATGCATGTGAACAAACAATGACCGCATGCGCGTCCTCATCCTCATCCTCATCCTCATCAGGCAGTCATCAGTCGCACATTCATTTTCTACGGTTTACAAATTACAATACGGGTATTATTTAAGTATTAATTATCATGCGATGATACATCGTTTAGTTTATAAATTTAATTTACAAACTTAATTTACTTATAACCTAAAACATTTCGCTTGCAAATGAAATAAAATACTACTAAACTGTAATACTAATAATAATAATAATAAGTGACAATCAGTGCGTCACATAGTAAAGTGCAACAATCCAAATATGAATATGATTGTACTCGTGATGTTAGGCGATGGGAGGGAAGATTCCTTCTCCATCGCATATTATTACTACTTTACAGGGTTTATATTTTAGAATAAAATATCAATAAATTGAGTGTAAATTCGTTGTATAACGAACAAGCAGACAAAAGATTCAATGGATCAAAAGCTTGAGGAGAGATTTTTCGTACGCAGAAAATAGGATACTTAAAAAAGATTCAACGAATTAAGGAGATAAGATATATAAAATGTTGAAGCACAATTGATTGGATACTTAAAAAAAATTATATTATTTGTATTATAATACTAAATACTTATATGTATCAGATCGTGTTTTTTGTAAATTGAAAAAAAAAAAAAATCTCAAGGCAACCTTTGTGTGTCACGTGTCACGTGATTAACTTGTAAAAGGGTGCATTGAACACGTGACAGTGAAGTCCATGGCAAATGTTCCGAGCAATAGTTCAACCAACATCTTTGCCATTAACATATCAAACAAGTTAAAAGAAGAGACTCAACTACAACTTATGAACTTAGTAATAAGACAAATACCATTCACCCAAAAAAGTAAGCTAACAATTATTTGCTTGCTGTGACTCTGTGTCTGTCATACAATTTGCTAAGTCCAGAAACCATACAAGCACAACACTCTAAATCCTTTTGCTACACTGAATTCTCTTCTGTTATGTCCCCATACAGCAAACCTGTAGCGGCAAAAACTCCGTCCAAGAATGATTGGGCGGGCATTCAGACAGTCTTCAAGCCTTGCGACATTAGAGAATGCTGCCCATATATTATAGCATTACACACACCTGCTTCCATCACCTACGACGCCATGAGATGCCTGAACCCTGAACCCGAAAAAGGAAAAGAAAAGGCCATGAGGAGGATCATATGGTCTTCAAGTGAATAAATGGCACATGTATTGAAGCAGACTACGATACCTTGAATGCTATCAGGAATCTACTTGGATGATTTGTGTTCCCCAAGGCTTTCAATCACGACCTTCTTTCTTGTGTCAAAATCAACTTTGTCTAGATCATAAGCAGTTCCGAGATAGGCATATAGGATCCTCTTCTTCTCCCGCGTCTTTTCGTCAAACTTCACAAGGTTTGGATTCATTTCATCATCCTTACTGCCGAGCATTGGGGGCTGTACACGAGCCCAGCCCCTGCGTCCATGATTTTCCTTCTCAAAGAACTCTGCCATTCGAATGGCGTCCTTAAGGCCTGCTTCGTCACCGGAAAACTTAACCAGAGTCATACCCAAATGACCATCTCTACCGTACAAGGATTTCGACTTCCCACTTCCAAATCCAAGATCTGTTTACAATAAATTCCATGAGAAAACAAGTAACTTGTCAGAAGGACCTACCTTTTTTTTTTTTTATAAATACGTTGACGCCCTTCCAATTATCAAGGGTAAGAATGGAATCTCCATAATCAATCCACGTGAAATGTCATGATAATGGCTGCCAACAGCCATAAAAGGCACAGCTTCTGAATACAAAATCCAAAGTGACTTAAAGAACCCCCTATGGCCCTAACCGTTCAATGACCACCAGACCAATGTCCAAAATGCTCCAACATGGTTCAAGGTTAATATACCATATGTAAGTGTGACTCAATGAACTGAAGTTACCAAACATATATAAAAGAGAAGCGTAGAGTCTCAAACGCTTATATACCAGAGTAATTACAATATGACAGACTGCAAATATCAATTGTAACATGCACAAGCACAAAAGATCCATTAAAACGAGGATAAACTATTAAAAACCAAACAAGAAAAAAGTTTGTATTATATGCTAACAGCAACACGGCTTTTTCACCCATACTTTCCTCGACTGGGTTCCAAACCCCAATGTATCACCTGAAATTCCTAGTGTAATGCAGCACGCAACAAGGAACCAACTCTCCAACCAAGGCTAAGGTCACCATCCTAATTATACAACTGGCATCATGTTGAACTTGAAATAAAAAAGCTAACCACATGCACAAACAGATATCTTATATTATGGGAGATCTGAGAGAACATTGCTCGTTATGCCAAACACTGCCCCTTCTTGGTTGTCTCGCTTCAGTAAGAGGTTTATCCAATTTGCCACTTTTGGCTGAACTAGCTTGACGTTCAAGTACATGGACTTGAAGGATCTGAAGTTTATCATGTAGGATGACAAAATGTGCCAATAATGAGGGGCAAAAGATGTGATAACAGGTCCAAACCCACTTAAATACAATGGTTTTCAATTAGCTTACAGGTTTAGGTGAGGCATGAAAAGTTTGTGACAGTCAGCAGACAGTGGAAAAAATAATTCAAATTGAAAGAGTTGTAATTCAGATGCAACCAAGACATTAGCAAACTACAACTAGCTACTTAGCCTTTAGAATTCATTGTGCTTGATGATCTTTAACATTGGAAGCCCCAAGATCCTGGTAATTTTTTTTTTTTTTGGGGGGGGGGGGGGGGGTGAAGAAACGATGACAATTTATTAAAACAAAAACACAAAATAGTGGATAAGAAATCCACCATTTAGCAAAACTAGCTAAGACCTCTCAAGCAAATCTAGCAAAATAGTGGATAACAAACCTTGGTAATCCTAACCAGATTCCCTCATTCTTAACCAACACTACGAGCGGTTGTACAGGTATGAGGAAAAGCCAAGCTTATGCATAAGATTATTTCATTCACCACATAAAATTTAAAATGAATAAATCAACCAGGAAGGGCTGTAAAGAAAATGCAACTATTAAAAGTTAGTACAACAGTCTGGCTCAACTGAGATAAAATAATAAAACTTGGACTGAACTGGATCACAGAGGTTAGTTATTGCATGTCCAAAGTCACTAGATCACGAAAATTAGGAATTTTTCGGTCCAAAGTAAAAGCAAGAAAATGATTAATAATGTCAAACTGATCCAAGAGTAAAGGCAGGGGGTGGTAGCAGATTGAAAAAGATACATGATACCTACTATCCCAAACAAGAGAACAAACCATTGGTAGAACCATTTAAAAATAAAGAATGAGATCCATCCAATCAAAATTTCTCCCTGGTGATCAGAGAGCAATGCAATAATAATAAAGTCCATAAACTAGGAACCCTGCATTAGGCTCCGTTCATGAGATGCACATCTCAACCATACTTTAATTGCCACAGAGAACACAAGTATCTCACACCAAAGAAGATTATATGGAACAACAAATCTCCACATCATATAATCCCTGCAAACTACAGTTGCAAATGCATTCTATTTATGCCACTAAGCTCGATATAAAGCCATTCCAGTATGATAAAAAAAAAAGTTCCAAATAAATTATATAACATAAATATATCTATTATGAAGGGAGGCACTAATACTGATTCACATGAACCAGCAAGACCCTCCCCTTCCACACTCAATCAAATCAACTGTAAAGGGTGACAGTAAAACTAGAGGTACTAGCATGCGTGGCTTTTCTTTTCATCTCACCTCCCCGTAAGCCCTTTGAACATCCTTGCAAGATACTATGGCTTAAACTTTTTGTAAACATTGGTATTCTATGCCAAACTATTTAACTTAACTCCCCAGGAGGAGGGCAACCTAGCAGTAATATTCTATGAAATACACATGCTGTATGCTGTATGCTGTATGCTGTATCTAAGACTCCCCAGGAGGAGGGCAACCTAGCAGTAATATTCTATGAAATACACATGCTGTATGCTGTATGCTGTACTAAGAAAGGTTGTTCACTCCATCCAATACAGATGTTTAATCTATTAAATTGGCATCTGAATATACTATATGCATTTACAGATTCAAAGGAAGTGCTCACAGCTAAAATAGGACACACATAGAGCATGTACTTGACCTGGGACCAACCTCTCCAATGAACATTCTGATAGAAAAATCATAAAGAATGAGCAAATATGAACTATGAAGGAGTACTATACCTCTAATAGTACTATCCATTGCTTTATTGCCCAAACCCTCCATGCGGCCATCTTTACTCTTTCCTGTAACTGTATTATGAATTATCACCACAGGTGGCCACATAATCAGATCATCCACATTTGCTGCTGCTGCTTCAGCAGAAAGAAACTGATATGCTTTTGAGTTATCCGGGGGCTTCAAGTAGTCCCACCCCATTAGAACACACAAAGCCTTGTGCAACCCCAAGTGATCCACCCGCATGTCAGCACTATCAGAGTTGTAACTGTGCATGATGAGACTATGCATATCCGGAAAATCTTTAGAGGACCTGAAATAATGCATACCAAGGGAATTGAACAATATATTTCAGGTTTACCTCTTAGATAGCATTACGACCCTACAACTTCGGAACTCAACAGGGCAATGACGAAGATGCATTTACCAAGGATATCCTAGTGAGCTGATATAATTATATCACGATATATAAACATTCATTTTCTTAGTTCCATCAGATGATAATACTTAGGTATTTTCACTTAGTGTAAGACCCTGACACAAGGTAAATAATTTACAACAAAAAGGGATAATTTGGTAAGCTTGAGTATACATAATAAATGTGTTAAACACAAGGCTGATAGATAACAATATAATTAGACGGGGAACTGTAGCACTATATAACAACGGAGTAATTACTGCACATAAGAAGCCAAAAAATGCACCTATTGTAACTAATAAAAACTAGATTCTCTAGCACGCCAGTGGCATTTAATTTCCACTACTAATGCAAAAATTTCAGAGGGGGAAAAAGAAAACAAATATCGACATCAACATCAAAATAGCAACCTTAAATTCTCATGTAATCCTTACTTAAGCAAAATTGGCCTCTAAACTTTGCACAAAACTTACGCTACAGTAAACTCTATCAAACAGACCAGGTCAACTGAGCCACACACACCATTAACTGGTATTCGATTCAACCAATGCAAAGTAATAGTTTAAGTCTTTGCATTCATATTATTTCAACCTACTAAATTGTCTGTTCGACTCGTACACAAAGAAAGTCCTAGTGTTCTAGTAAATGAATCATGTGGAATAATCCATGTGAATGTGATGGTACGTGGTCTAGGTTTAAAAATTATACAGAAACAAAAAGGATAAGAGGTCGTAGTACTTGAAGAGAATCAATTAGAAGAGGTTCTTGTAAAGTTCATACAAGAAACATACCACTAAATATAAGTCAAACCACATGAATGCAAAGCTAACCGCAAGAAAACCCAACTTATTGAAATGGAACAAAAACATGTGTAAAGAAGAAAATAGTAAAAAATTTGTCACCCAACAAAGTCCTTTATGACTCACATTCAATACAGAACTTGGATGTCAACAAGGGCATCAGCCAATATGAACCAGTCAGTAACAGAATGTCGGGAGGCATCCGATTCTTTAGAGTGGGGAAACAGAAAGGAGATGTATGCAAACGGAATCCTTATCAATAAAATAAGCTCAACAAGCATTTTCTACAAGATCCATGCCTTGCACATTTCCATAATTATTTCTGTCAGTAACAGGATAGAAAGAATGAAGTTTGAAAGGGAAGTTATGGTGTGTGCCGCGTAATCAATGCCATTCCACTACATCCACTAACCAACAAAAGAACAGAAGCTGAGCAAACAAGAACAGAATATGGAACCAAGTGACATCTAGTAAACCACGTCACAAACAAGTATTAAATAGCAATTGTAATACAGCCTCACATTCCTCACAATACAAGGTCATCGAAAAGCAACAAGTTTTCAAAAAGAGCAAGCAAAGATATACTTGCAGACAAAACAGTTACCAGTACTTAGAAGCCTGATAATGTAGGAAACTAAATAATATAGGAACACAGTTACCCATTGCTCCTCAATACAAGGTCGTACCCAGTGCACAAGGCTCCCGCTTTACGCAGGTCGTACCCATTGCTCCTCAATGATGCAAAATATTCTGAATTCCATAACAAATAGGAAACTAAATGATAATATCCTAGATATTACTCTTCATCATCTGAGACCAGGAAAAAAAAGAAGATAGTATTGGATATTAGCATATGGATTCATCCGGGAATAGCAAGCATACCAGTTTGTACACTGATGCACCGTTAATACAATTCAAAGTATAAGCTCTTAGTAACCACCGAAATCCTGCTAAGTAATAAACATGCACATGCGCATGAGCTTCCTTGTATACATATTCTCACAAGGAAAAAATTAGATTCCAATGATTCCAAAACACCAAAACAAAGATTCAATCGAACAAATTCAGCCTCTCGACTTCAACAGCTCATAAAGAAAGAGCTAGTGCCCATTTTGCAACAAGTTAGGCAGCACTCGTAACAATCTAAAACAACTGTACAAAACACAACCAACACTCTTATGGGAACAGAGCATGGATCAAATCAAATGGACACACCCAACTTCCATTCAGTTGCACTGAATAATCAGGGATCTAAGCTGGGATGGAGTCAAATACGACCCAGCTCAGCCCACTGAATCTTAGCCTGACATGACAAAGTCAGAAACACCAAAACAAAAGCTCATCTCAATCAGCTTTAGGCTAAACCAACCTGGTCGCTTGACCTTTAGGAATAATCAGCAACCACCTTCACTATAAACGATAATAAGATAATATGGGTATAGACTGATAGTAAGGTCATACGTAAATAACAAGTCGTTCTTACACAATAAGTAAAGGACCGATGATTCCCCAAACACTGTCGGAGTCTAGATTTCTAAAGGGAAATCTAAGAAAAGCATAACATGAAAAGAAAACGAACTTTGGGAGACACTCGTTCTCTCCTCTCTGTAGCGCTTTCCAGAAGGTAATAGACTATTTTACCTATAAATAGAAAATATACATCCCCTTACACAGCAATTAAAGGACTCAATCATACTCCAAACTTCGTTGGAGCATAGATCTCTAAAAGAAATCTGGGAAAAGCCTAAAGTACTAAGACTCTTCCTAATCCTAAACACACATTCACAATGCCCACAGTACAGTAATGACAAATATATAGTGATCCTACGAATCATTCATGAATTTTTCACATATGCAAGCAACTTCCTAATATTCTCATAAACCTACTTATCATTTTAAAGGATATCGAACAAACTTTTTGACTTTGCATTGAATGGCTTGCATCAGGTCAGCATCAAATGCCCACACAACAATATACTTACCAACTCTATATGAATTTACATAGAAAATAAGCATCATATGTGTGCACCCACACAAGTCTTAACTTATAATTATCACTAAGGATAACCAATGAACTAAAAATTCAAAACAGAAACACATTAAAGCTTCTAACTTGTCGACATTACATCCATTGAACTCTTTGACATGGCCTTGCAGCCTTCAAAGCCAAATAAGCACACTTTGCTGTAATATTCACTTGATAGTTGATATATAGAATTGCAGACCTCAAAGAATAGTCTAACTTATCAAACAACTCAGACCATCAGTATCAAAAAAGTAAGGTTGGTAAAGTTCAGAGATGATAGAATAGATTCTACAACTAACCTTCAGTTCCATATAGGGGGTAAAAAACCAAGACATGAAAAAACCTCCTTGAAGAGACACCATAAACAGAAGCTACCATGCAACAAGCTGTTGCTTAGCGACTGAAGCAATACGCAAGATTTCAGAAACCTACAATGAAGTCTCGTACAAAACAAGTGCAACCCTTGTAATTACAGAAAGGGAATACAATTCTCGCTTTCAAGGATATAACCAGCCTTCATTATCCACCAAATGTGAAATGACTTTTCCTTGAAGCCTACCACAGCACATAGCACAAAGTGCATATCCTTGTGCAAGCATGTCTTAAACATTAGGTGGGAGGTACTATATCCTAGAAGAAGATAATTTCACGCAAAAGCAGATTAAAACATTTACGAGAAGTCAACATGGCTATCCTTCAACTTCACCAAATAGCTAATACCAAATATAGAGTGCCAAGAACAACAACAAAGACAACATAATCAGTAAACCCTACTTGCATTTGAAAACGAACTCTATACGTATATACAACTTACATCTCTTAAGACAAATTCTCTCTTAAGTCTAAGTAGACCCTATTTGACCTCACTATACTCCTTCAAAATGATTGCATTGTAAGCACCGAATCTAACTGATGAACGGAAAGTTTCCTAAAGCTCCAAAAAGGTTTCTTGCTGCCATTCGATATGAATAACGCATTAATACTGCTAGTTGGATACTGATGGCTTCCTATGGCAAAGGGAAGAACGAAAATGAAAAAGTAACAGCTAGAATAGTTCGGGTTCCAGGTATAAACTAATGATACCTAACTCAACGAAAGATTACCAATACTAACAACGAACGTAATCGAAGAACAAAAATATAGTTAAAGCAATTAATTTGCACAAGACCTGACACAAGCAAGACAATGCAGACGGCCGTGCTTCCCATCCTCCAAGTAAGTCTTCCTCTGCTGCGTATTCTCATGAATCAGCTTCACAAAGTTAAGAAACGCCTTCTTCAACGCACTCTGATCAACTTGAAGATGCTTCAGACCCGCATTCTCACCTCCGCCACCAACGCCTTGCCTAAACCCCAAACTATCATGACCTCCACCACCACCACCAATCCTCATGTACTTGTTAGCCCTCCCCTCATCGCCACCCGTTTCCCGCCGAAAGGGACTACTCGTTGGCCGACCTCCTCCGGGACCCACCGAAAACCCATTTGGATTCCCATACTGCATAAGTTGCTGCCGACGCATCGCCAATTCTTCTGCCTTGTCCCTCTGCTCCTCTTCTCCGCTGTACTTCCTCTTAGCGGGCCCTTCTGCAGGTCCACGCCCGTCGAGCCCGAGCGAATTCCAGTAATCCGGACCCGGCCCGCCCGATCCACCCGGACCAAATGGCATGAACCGGCGGGGCGGGTTCATGGGCGGAGGAAAGTCTTGATAATCGGGCGGAAGAGCGAAGTAGGATCGAACACTACCATCGGCAAG